TCGCTTAAACGTAAGTCTTACTTAGGTCCAGTTTCACGACTTATATTATATTAACCGGAATATATTATACGACTTATATTATATTAACCGGAATATATTATACGATTTATATTATTTTAACCGGAATATAATTCGTTAATATTAGAAGTACGAGCGGTTATTTCTGATCGTTTTCTATTTTTTAGATTAATATCCTGTTTCTTTAAGATTACAGGATTTTTGTTTTGAGGTTTGTTTAATGTGATGTTTGTAAAGAATGTATATAAATTTCTACATATAAGATTAAAAATATGAAAAATATTGCAGTGAAAGCAAGGAGGTTCCACGGTGCGCACGATATCTCAATAACTATTTGACCAATCGACTTGCAACTTGGCAGCATTATAAAATAGACTTCTCTTTACCGTTTTAACTACAATTAACCAAATTCATTAATAATTAATATTTTTATTAAACTTTACCGAGAGGCCAGAAATAGACGATTTTTGTTCTAAATGCTACCATTTTATTATTTGTGTTCCGATTGTAGTTCAGACGATAGCTATACTTATAGAAAATAAAAAGCTACTTTAAATAATTGTGTAAAATTAAATCACACACATTTAGAAATTCCTTGGAATCGTCTATTTGCAACCTCTTTGCTTTTACTGCAATATTTTATATATTTTAACCTTACATACTTGTAGAAAAATGTATATATATTCTTCAAACATCATTAAGCAAACTCTCAAAACCCGTAATCTTTTAATCATGTGATCTTTTTCGCTTCCGCAAAAAAAATTAACGAAATATACGTATTTTTTGTCGGGTTCAATAAGACAACTCTTTAAAAGCCTATCTCAACAAAATTACATAATCGCATCATTGATATGCACAAGGAAATCAACCAATCATAATCCGTACAAGCGTGCCTTTTATATTAGACATATTTTACATTTAATTAATCTGTTTCCTTCTCTAGAACAAATAATCATCAAAGGTCAAGATAACGTCAAAATTATTTTAACTTAATTTTGACATCATCTTCACTTTTATATAATTATTTGTTCTACTTCAGTTATGCATATGAACAATACGACTATGCAAGTTTGTCTCAATAAGTCTTAAACTCCGGTTAAAATAAATTATGAAACTAAATCTTAGCGTTTTTCAATCATCGGCATCTTTCACGATGTTACGATTATAAATATTATCTATATAACCAATTGTAACCTACACAATGGAACGCTCTTCGATTGAACCGATTGAAATTGCTCATATCAATTATCAATGATATATGGCCTTTCATTACATTCTCTAAGTTTCAATTGTTAATTGAACAATTCCTTTCACAAGTCAAAGATTAACATGCTGATTTGAAACATAATGCAAAAAGCTCGAAAATAAATGCGAAGCAGAGAAGAGATTAACAATGAATGATTATTATTTAATATGCAACTTACATTAACATGGAATGTCTAATTGACTTAATGTCTCGAAGCTACTGAATATGAATTTCTGCTCAAATCTCTTCCTTTCTGTAGGAGGTTTTTGGCTGTTTCGGTTACTTTCCTCTACATTTATATTGATGAGTTGAAGCACTTGTTTCTACGAGATGTTTAAAATTCGGCTGACTTTACGAGTGTTAACACTCGTAACTGGACCTAAGTAAGACTTACGTTTAAGCGAATGTTCTCTTGAAACTGAAAACATTAATAATAATAATAATGATAATTATATTTCTATTTATCTTTTTTTCTATACTATCTAACTATCTATCTATCTATCTCTATATCTATCTATCTATCTATCTATCTATCTGTCTATCTATTTATCCATCTATATCTATCTCTATCTATCTATCTATCTATTTATCATCTATCTTTTTTCTTCCTATGTATCATTGCAACCTATCCTGTTCTATCCATATTTCTTGCAAATGCAAACAATTAATATTACATTAATTTTTATATAAAATATATTTTTATACTATAACATGCTGAATTAATAATTAATAAAATTCAACAGGTTATACTATAAAAACAAACACTTACGTAAAAAATTATTATATTATTAAAAAGTTTACATTTATTTCTTGACGGAGATCACCATTTTCTCGCGGTTTCCGTTGAGCAACAATATGCACGTTATCTATTCGTAAAATTAAATAATAAAGTCGTAATTGAAATATGATATAAAACTAATTTCTTTTTTTACTAGACTAAATTTATTTTTGCTACGAGAAGAAAAATGTAACAATGAATATCTTTTACAAAACAAATAACATTTCATTTAATTTTTAATTTAAATTTATTAGCATAAATAAATTATTCTGTCATATACTTTAATAACAAATCATTTTTAAAAGATGTATATATTGGCTAAGAGTGGATTTCTATTAACTTTTCGTCTCTCATTATAATTCTCTCTTCTTTATTTGTGCATTAATACTAAATATTCTTTATATACATATACACTATATATGTGTCATTTATTTATATATATATTGTCATGTAATTAATATATTTAATCAAGCCGTAAGAACACGAGAAGAGAGGAAGAGCGAGCAAGTGCGCGAGAGAGAGAAAGAACGAGCGAGAGAGAGAAAGAGCGAGGTATAGGAGTAGCGAGAAAAATCTCGCGGCTCACGCAGTCAATAAGCTAGACGAGCGGGAAAGAAACAGATAATATGTCGACGCTCGTCTAGTCTCCCATGTGCTACCTCGCGTGCGTGAAAAATAATTCCTCGCTTCGCACGTTCCCTTGACACGAGACGCTACCGTGTCTTTTGATGTTTCTGTAGCGTGAAAGATGAAAGAAAAGCGGAGAGATGTTCGCTTAGCGATAAGATCGCCTCGTGTTTACTGCCGCGCGCCGCTCAGTAGTGAGACAAAGACGGAACGATTGTCTGTCGTCTGTCTTTTTCTAATCTACTATCCATTGCATGAAAGTAATACGGACACGAACCTAGGCGCATTTTACTTTTATCACCGCGAAAGTGCGCTTAGCGGACGTAGTTTAGGCGCATTTTGGTCAGATAGCGTATCTAAAATGCGCCTAGCCGTATCCCCCGAAATATGGCCGGTGGCCACTCTCATTCTTCTCTCTGGTATAAGCATTTGGCCCCAAAATGGCGTGGAATAGTGTAGATAGTGCAAAGTTAGTGTAATATATTTACACAAAGTGCAGTGTTCCTAACCTATTGTTGTCACCGTTGCGCTTATCTTACAAGGGACATTCGGCAACGCGGAAATTCAAAAAAATCTGAAACTCTACATAATTGTAGAGCAGATATACCTAATAACAAAACAATTTTTCGTTGGTGCCCAAAAACGGTTTTAAGGGTGGAAACAACCCCTTGAACAAAGTTGATTTTTGTCTTTCTAAGCGAATATTATCGAAACTATTAAAGATATGAAAAAATGTTTTAGACAAAAGTTTTATGGTTTTAAAAGTACTTTATTATGCTATATTTAGATTTTTTAAAAATGTAAAATTGTGTATAAAATACTCCCCTCCTTCTCTTTTTTCAAATTGTTAAAATCAATTGTCCAACCAAAATAAAGCTTATTTTATGACAAATTCAACCATATATAATAACATCATGTTTGGAAAAGGCAATATTGAAAAAAAATTAAACATGCTCTTATATGTATGCTACGCGTACCAAACTTAAGGATTCGCTACTTGACGATGGCATTTCTTTCTTCTTCAAATCTTCCTCATAATTGCAAACTGTAAAAGATAAGGAAGGAAGAAAATAGAAAATCTAAAAAAGCAATAAAGTTGATGTTAAGAAGTAAGTAGGAGAAAAATAGCATGATAAGGATACAGTCACTAATATTTAAAAATGTTATAAATTATAAAATTTCACGTAATAGACGTTTATTTTGCCAACATTACGGCTACCTTTTTCATTAATTTAAACGACACGCGTAAATATAAATAAATATGTGTGTGTGTGTATGTGTGTTTTTGTACGTGCGCACGTGTGTGTACATCATGGCAACATGCAAAACACTTATCACAAGTTTTATGACTGTGCGACCAAAATAGCACTCTTTATCAAGTACAGTGCAATCAAGGTTCATTATATTGACATATGTTATCTTCATTCATTTGCATATAAAAGCTGTCCATTTTGGAATACATTTCAGTGTTATTGAAGCAGTTACTGAAGCAATACGTATATTATTATTGCTGTGAGAAATGTTTAATTAAAATATCCTTAAGATTTGTATCATAATGTCAGTAATAAATCCAGCTAATGTTATTAATTTGTTAATTGCGACATTTCATTTCACAAATATTGCAATAACTCCTGTTAATCATCAAGAGGTGGAACTCCATGATACAATTACTGATTTAATAAAGAGTGCTATACATCACGATATTACTATCGAACATGAGTGGGGACTTAATTTTGACGATCCATCAGAACCGCATGACGTACAATTTGTAGATTGTGATTTGTACGATATTGATGCTGAAGAAGATAATTATGGAAATGAAGTTTGCACTGTGGATGATGAAGGTGGAAATGTAAACTTAAATTATAAGAAAAAGGCAATCGAATTTTGGAAGAGTGGAAAGAAAGGACATTTATCTCTTACTTCTGTACAACATCGTTTTAGAAAAGTAAAGTTTAATTAAAAAATAAGAAGAATAATATATAATAAAATACTTGAGGCTTTTACGGTGTACAGTGACCGGCAGTGATTCGTTCCGCGACAGAGAGAACTCTATTTTCCCTCTCGCGGAACGCATCATTGTCGGTCATTGTACATACAGCTTTGACTATAAGTATAAAGCATCCCAAAAAATTTATTTAAATTGTGTAACAAAAACATACTATATGAATATATGGAGAACATAATATAGTATACGAGTATATGGAAAAATAATATAATAAAAAATATAATATAAGAATATGTGGAAAATAATATTTATTTTACAATATTTATTGTAATATAATATAATATTAATATAATATAAATTATAATATAAATATAATATACATAAATATAATATACACATTATATTATAAAATATTAATATAATATTTATTGTAAAGAGATTATATATTTACTATGAATATATGCATTGATTTCTAGGAAAATACAATGAGTTAGAGATGCTTTATACTTATGACCAAAGCTGTAAATTATATAGTTAGAGTCGCGTTGTTTTTTATTTTAAGTTTTACAATTTGATGTTTCGTGAACATTTAATTCGTATATAACTTCTTTTATTTTTGAATTCGAATTGTTTAATATTGAGATTTGTTTTCTTCTAGGTAAAATCTATTCAACAATTGCACAGATGGCAAGAACATGTAATGCGTGGGGGTTCAAATACAGACAAACTTGTAGTTATTGCTGAATATGTTCTTATAAAATTCCAAGAAGCTGTTAATAGAGGACTTATTATTCATGATATAAATCTGCGAAAATGGGCACTAGAAGCAAAGGAACAAGTGGATTTTTCTTCATTTAAAGCAGGAAATTGGTGGATATGGAATTTTAAAAAGGCACATCGTATTACATCACGTAAAATAACTGCATTTAAAACGCGGTCTTCTCATTTAACTGATCTAACTATACGTCAAAACGCTGAGGAATTTGTAAATACAGTAAAGCCACATATTAATGTAATCGGTGCTGAATCAACTTATAATGCGGACGAAAGTGGCTTTAATTTAGAAATACATGCAGGAAGAACATTAGCTAATGTAGGAGTGAAGACAATTGGAGCTACTATCCAATCTTTATCTGCTATGACTCATAGCTACACCATTATGCCTATTATATCTGCAGATGGACATCTCCTTTCGTCTTTGTATATAGTATTAAAAGAATCTACTGGTGTTTTTGGACCACAAGTAGAACAAACTCTTTTTAGACCAGTGAATATTTACATTGCGGTTTCAAAATCAGGGAAATTGACAACTGAACATTTCAAAAATTGGTTCCAAGAAGTGTATCTACCAAACACTGGAGAGAAAAGTATACTACTGCTTGATTCATGGACAGGACATTGCCCGAACCAATTGGAAGAACTTATACCAAAAGATAAACATGTAAATATTCTAACAATACCAAAAAAAACAACTGCTTTTATACAGCCATTAGATGTTTTTGGTTTCAGAATCTGGAAAAATTTTGTTCGAAGCTTTTCTGATAGTGTTATTATAAATAATTATGACATAAATTTACATTTACGTAATAACATAATAAAATTGCAATCTTTAACACACAATCAACTGTCTTCTCCAAGATCTCCAAGAAATTTATTTAGATATAGCTGGTATAAAAGTGGTTATTTATCAACACGGCCTGAAAAATTTCATAATCCAATCGATTATTGTTATTTTAAAGAAGAAAAACGTATACCAAAATGTAGCATTTGTGGTAAAATGGCTTTTATACGTGGTGCATGGTGCAAGCAATATTTTTGTTTTGAACATTTCTTTGAGCAATATCATTATTGTAATAATTATATAGAATAAATAATATTTTACTGTCCTCAATTCCTGTAAAATTTGTATATATTATAATCCATACCAAAATATAAGATATCTTTCACTCGAATATCTATATCGACTACTTAATTAATAAAACCTATATACTGAATGAAGCAAAACACATACACACAAATGTACACTGAATAAATTTATAAATTATATTTTTCATTATTAAATCCGTGTGTGTTCTCCTTTTTTCTTCATATCATTCATTTCCTTATTTGTTCTTTACAATTGAATTTAAAAGATTATCTATATTAGGGTTATATACACTCTCTCTGCGTCCTCCTTATCATGCTGTTCTTCTTCAACTTACTTCTTAACATCAACTTTATTGCTTTTTTAGATTTTCTATTTTCTTCCTTCCTTATCTTTTACAGTTTGCAATTATGAGGAAGATTTGAGGAAGAAAGAAATGCCATCGTCAAGTAGCGAATCCTTAAGTTTGGTACGCGTAGCATACATATAAGAGCATGTTTAATTTTTTTTTCAATATTGCCTTTTCCAAACATGATGTTATTATATATGGTTGAATTTGTCATAAAATAAGCTTTATTTTGGTTGGACAATTGATTTTAACAATTTGAAAAAAGAGAAGGAGGGGGGTATTTTATACACAATTTTACATTTTTAAAAAATCTAAATATAGCATAATAAAGTACTTTTAAAACCATAAAACTTTTGTCTAAAACATTTTTTCATATCTTTAATAGTTTCGATAATATTCGCTTAGAAAGACAAAAATCAACTTTGTTCAAGGGGTTGTTTCCACCCTTAAAACCGTTTTTGGGCACCAACGAAAAATTGTTTTGTTATTAGGTATATCTGCTCTACAATTATGCAGAGTTTCAGATTTTTTTGAATTTCCGCGTTGCCGAATGTCCCTTGTTAGATTCAACTTCTTGCTGTAAGTACTAAGAAGAATGCCAGCTTGTTACATCGAGGGATGCAAAAGCCGAAATTAGGAAGGTATCCGCTTATTTCGCTTATTTCGCATATCAGCAGGCGAAAAAAATAAAGTACAACGCGAAAAATGGATCAGATTGATTGGAAGAAACACATCTCTGCCAGAAAATGTCAAAATTTGCGAGGTAGCATTAATGAATCATACACGTGAAAAATTAAATTTCATAATAACAATTATATATATTTCTTATAGCTACATTTTGGTGCGGATCAATTCGAAAGAAAACTAGAAGATGGAAAACGGCTGCTTCGTCCATGTACGAAGCCAAACTTATTAGAGAAACATTTTGAGGACATGATATCTAATCAGGAAGGTACCAATAATAATACAAATAAAGCAAGATGTAAGTGTAACATTAGTGTTACGATACAATAATATACGAATATGAGTTATTCCGATTATTGAAATTGACCTTGTACAACTAAATAATACTATACTATATTTAAATTAATACATTTGTAGGTAAATATGACAATTCTATAATAAATATGGAAGATAGTGTTTGTAATATTATAGACACCGATGTAACAACTGCAACACTGATATCAAACAGTTTTTATGACAAAAAATTCGAAGTATTGAGAAATACTACATGTAATAGTAAAGATTATGAAAACAATATTCAATCTTTACAGAAGGCATTAGAAAGTTCGTAGTAGGAATGTAGACATTTAAAACAGAACTTGCAGACACGAAATACAAATATGGAAAAAGTATTTAATAAAGACCAATTTTATTTCTTTACATGTAATACACAAAGAGGAGCTGAATGGTCTGATGTTACACTAAATAAAGCATTAAAACTATATATAGCTTGTGGGCAGAAGGGATATGAGAAAGTGTGCCGACAAAACCTACGATATCCAAGTATTCGTACACTGCAACACCGTATACAAGGCTTTATATTTAAGTCAGGTATTTTAGAGGATGTGTTTAATATGTTAAATTTGAAAGTTAGTATGATATATTATTGTACCCAGTTAAAATAATAGTCTAAAAGATGTAGAAACATTCAAAAGAATGTTTTACATTCTTTTGATACTTTATGAACATATTTACATCTTTAGGACTTTTATTTTATTTGGGAGTCAATGAAAGATCTTTGAGCAAAGCGAAAATCACAAAAGTGAACAAATTCACAAGATATCTAATAAAATGATAAATATTCTAAAACATTCGTTCATTTGTGTAATTTTCACGTTGTACAAATATTTTTAATAGGCTTGAATGTGGATATGAATGTTTGTAGTTTGTAATTATGTACGTCTTTACTGTATATATATTTACTATACATAACTAACTTTAATGTAAGATATATATTGGTTTATAGCATTATTTATTTTCAGGTACAGACATTTGAACCGGAGGAGAGGCATGCAGTACTGTTGGTTGATGAAATGTTTATAAAGCCAGGTTTGCCAGGGTTACGATAATTCCAATGCGTCAATTGTTGGTCGATCCACAATGAAACTATCTGGTGAAATTGATAGTTCGAACAAGCAAGCTACACATAGTCTTGTGTTCATGCTATGCGGTATTTCCACTAAATGGAAACAAACAATTGCTTATGAATTTATAGCAAATTCATTCTGTCCACACGAAATGGTTAAGGAGATTGAAACAATTATTCAAAAAGCACATTTTATTGGGTTAACCATTAAAGCAGTAATCTCCGACATGAGTGCGCTAAACAGAAGTTGGTGGAAGATTTTGAATATTACAGGTGGAAAGTGGACTACAGTTAATAATTACATCCAACATCCATGTGATAAGAAAGAGAAATTATATATCATGCTAGATTCTGTCCACGTCTTTAAAAATGTTGCATGCTCTTTAACAGCAGGAAACACTTTATTTAAATGCAACATTAGTTCAACAATACAATTTACCGCACAATGAAATAACTATTACTCCTATTCGCGACGTATATAACTTTGATCAAAACGATACGTTAAAACTGTGTCCGCATCTAAAACAAAATGCTATATACTCATCCCATTTCGATAAAATGAATGTGGCCTTAAGTGTAGGAATATTAAATAATAGTGTTACTGCAGCTATATCTTATTATATAAACAAAGGTAACATTAGAAATATACATAGTACCACTGCCTGGTTTCTCACTACTATGCATAAGTGGTTTACACTTATGTCGAGTCGCTATCAAAAACTTGCACTATCCCATTATAATGGAAACATATACGACGATAATATAACGTTCTTGAAAGATTTTATAAAAATTATTCGAGGAATCACTGTTGGAAATACACAGAATGGAACATGGAAACCTTTTCAAACCGGATTAATTCTTTGTACGCAGTTTGTTTTGGATCTGCAAGCAGAATATTTAGATCGGTAATTTTAAATATTTATTATTGGGACAATTTACGTAGGATGCGTTGGAAAATTTATTTTCAGTCATCCGAAGCAAAAAAGCTGGAACCCGATGTGCGTGAATTTAAACAGGCATTACGACTGATTTATTTATTGCAATTTCATACACACATTAACCATGGCAATTACTCCATTGAAGACTCCGACCATCTTATTCGATATTGTAAAGAAATAAAAGAAGTTGATTTTCAGCATACGTCTGTTGAGGAACAGTATCTCAAGAATATGGAAAATGATTTATGGGGTAAAGAAATATTTAGATCATTAAGTGGAAACGAATCTGGATTAAACGATGACACGCAAAGCTCATTATATTACTTAATAAGTGCTTTATTATCAAAAATTAAAAAAACTTGTACGCATTGCGATCATTGTTTTAATGCACTTGCAAATACTGCAGATGATTCGAATAATAATCTAAGTACATTCACTAAATTATGACAATATAAAGAAAATATATTACTTTTTCCAACTATGAAACTGTATAATACAATGTAAGTGCGAATTATTATGTCGATCCAATGAAATGCATTTAGTCTCAAATAATTTAAATGTTACTGAGTTTATAGACAAATTGTTACACTTGTGTCCAAAAACTATTCCGGAGTGTCATAATATATTTTATAAACATATAAAAAAATGTGTGATAACAAGAATTCACTTTTCATTGAAAAAAGATAACAGTACTATTACTTTAGTTAATAAGAGTAGTCGAAGTGTTGCAATGAAAGTAGCTATTACAAATGTTAAACATTATTAATAATAAATATATTTTAATATTATCATTGATTTTTTCCTCATGCACAATTATATTCATATTTACAGAATGTTAAGTAATTGTCGTCTACTATGTATATAATGTTTATCCTTATGAAAATGTAAGTACAAAAGTCCCGAACGAAAATATTAAGATTTCAATACTTTACGAGATATAAGTGATCAAAATAAAACTTTTTGTACACTATGTATTGGAGATCTAAATAGATAATTATTCTTTTCGATGAATTTCAAGTAAACTTTACTTTCACAGAATTTAGAATTTTTATTTAAGGCTTAGCTATAAAGATGCACTATATTACAAGTTAGAAAGTCATTATAAATCATTATCTCTTTCAACAAAATAGCTCAGAACTTTTAAATTTGAATATTCATGAGAAATAATGGCATATATTATTTAACTATGTATCGCTTTATATATATAATACACAGTAATGTTTATAACGAATATATAATTTGAATGCCCGCGCTTGCCTTGGCCCCAAAATGGAGGACGATTGCGGTACTTTATATATCTAGTGACTTTAATGTAGTCGACATACATGTCTGAAGTTGTGTTTTTTTATAGCTTGGACATCTGTTAACAATAACCAGTCGTAACACCAACACGTATCGCAACGCAAAAATATTTTTTCTAACAACGAAGATGTCGAGTTTTGTGCCAAATAAACAGCATTTGCGGGAAGCTTTGCTTTTCTGCTGTTACGTCCTGCGGACTCCGCGCACTCTAGACTTCTTTTATAAATAAGGAAAATTGAATTTATTATTTCTTATTATATGGCCGGATGCGCTCAGGCATGTTACCCGACACGATCTCTGGAAGTTTCGATGCTCCGGAAATATTAACAATCTTGAACCAACTCCGATCTTGTTTCCCACGCGCTTAGTCAACGATAACAGTATCGCGACAGATTCTTAGAAATATCGATATTTCCTTCTTAAGATTGCTGCCATGTTTTTTTTTAAACAAAAGACTCTCGAAATTCTCTTATTGCCATATGCATCCTATCTCCTACAAAATTATTTTAAAGATACTGCAACGTATTCTTAACCCCCAATCTAAAACACATTCGAAGCACAGTCCTATGACCATATTTGGGCATGAAAATTAGATTTCCGAAACAATTCCCCAAAACCCCACTCTCTCAACCGAGCTGACGTTTTGAGAAAAGCCAAAAGGCCAATTCACTTCTCAACCGACCCGCAGCCAGGACAGAAGCTTCTCTTCAGCACCCCTTCAGGGTCTCCTAACAATCTAGCCTATTAGTGGCTTAGACAGATCAGTGTTTCTCCAGTCGTTAATTATTCTGTGCAACGATCTCGTGCATTTTTGGACCATCGTGACCAATCCAGCAGAAACCAGCTTCCTTTTCTTCAAAACTTGGGTCCATCCTCACAGACACGCAGCAATTACACTCTTCATTTCCGACAAAGTATAGCATAGATCCAGCAGTAAGTTATTTATACTTTCTTTTACCTGAGTAACCGCTTTCTTTTCATTTTTCTTCTTTTCTTCTCTCTCTTTTCTTTTCCTTGCCTTTTTCTTCTTTTTCTCTATTCCCCTTGGCATTCCTCCTTAATTGTGAAATTGGGTGTCAGTGGCCCAATCTTTTCGATCACAGTCGGACATAACGAACACGGAATTTTGCACAAACCGCGATTGTTTATACATATATGTATACGTACACATTATAAAATCTTACAAATTTTATTTCATTGTGAACTTCCGCTTAATCATCAATAAAACAAATTATTTGTAATTATAAGCCAATCATGTTTTCCAACTAATTATTCTCAACAAAAAATTCTCCCTTCCCTCAACTGTCGCTCACGGTCCTATCCCAGGTAAAATGATTCAGTTCCTTGACCTAAATAAAGGACACCGACGTACGTCCGCGCCAGATAAAGGGGTCACTCCGATTCTTGATCTGCACAGCAGACTTGCGAGTACGTCGGAGCTTGTGAAAGCAAGCGTCAAGTTGCGTTCCTCCTCCAGGACGTAACACTGCTTTAACTTGAAAAAAAGTGCAGCTGAAGCACGTCGTTTGATTGAGAAGGCCTACGGCGAACATGCACCATCGAAAACTACCTGTGAAGATTGGTTTAAACGCTTCGGAAGTGGCGATTTCGATACTGAGGACAAGGAGCGCTCCGGAAGACCAAAAACAATTGAGGACGCCGTCAGCAAGCGTTATCGGATGAAGATGCAAACACAAGATCAAATTGCGGAGGTATTAAACATGACTCGCCAAGGTATTTCCAAACGTTTACATGCCATGAGAAAAATTCAAAAGGAAGGAAAATGGGTATCGCATGAGTTGACTGAGAGACAGATGGAAAATCGAAGAGCCACTTCCGAAATTCTGTTTTTGCGGCATGAAAGAAAGAATTTCCTATATCGAATTGTTACTGGCGATGAGAAGTGGATATATTTCGAGAATCCCAAACGCAGAAAATCGTGGCTTTCACCTGGCGAAGCATCAACATCGACGGCACAGCCAAATCGCTTCGGAAAGAAGACAATGCTCTGCGTTTGGTGGGACCAGAAAGGAATTGCATACTATAAGCTGCTGAAACCGGGCGAAATTGTCAATGGGCATCGCTACCGACAGCAACTGATCAATTTGAATTGACGCATGCATTGCTCGAAAAACGGCCAGAATGGGACACGAGACACGAACGAGTGATTTTGCAGCATGATAACGAACCGTGCCATCGCATTTCCATCGTTCAGGATACCATCAAAGCGCTGAAATGGGATCTGTTGTAACCGCGTCCTAATTATTCCACCTTACGCTGCAGTTAGTTAGTAAGCATGCCTTACACAATTCGGTTAGAGTGCTGACACCATAAAGTACGTGTAATATATAAACTTGCAACTCTGCTGACTGAGATCACTAAAGTAGGTTATTGTGTCAGTCATATCAAAGGCACCAGGATATATAAGACTGGAGCCGAAAAAGAAGGAAAGATAGAAGATTGAACCGAGAACTGAGCGTCTCGTTAGTTACGTATAAATCCGGGTCCGTCATTCCACGCTAGTACGTAAGCGCAAGTATAAGGAGGAACAAATAAACACCACCTTCTTTTGTACGACTACTTCTATCTCGCCTGGACTAGCGAAGCTCGGGATCCCAATCTCTAAAACCACGAACGAACCCGAAACCTAACCGGCCTTAGTGGATCAGGCGCGAAGGCCACGACAAATTTGATGGCAGCGGTGGGATCACTCAACAACCTGCATATTGGTCAGTATCGCGGAGATACAGGCACCATCCAGGTCATACCAATACCGTAAGGATTGGCAAAAGAAGAGGAACCTCAGGAGCCCGATAAGTTGCAGCCGAGGCTCCCACACCACGTCAGGCAGTACACGAGAGATCACCGGCATTCTCCGGGACAATCACGGAACCAGCAAGGTCTGAAAAGGAGCGTACACCTCGAGTTGCTTCACCTCAACGGGTTGACGGATACGCACCGCTAGGGGAAGACAGCACCAAGCAGACATGTATATAAGAGCAATATTGTAAGTCAGCTAAGGACTCCTATTGCGAATTTGAATGTCTGAGGGACGACTACCAAATATTAGACTAGCACCGTTCCGGTCTTTCAGCGATTGCTCATTAAATACTCGCTTGAATTCGTTGCGTGTAATCGAGGCCACGACCCGCGACATCGCTGATAATGTTCGTAGAACTTTAGAATCACGGTACGATGATAGCGATTCTTCCGAATCTTACGAGCATGTGGTAACGCAGCGCGAATTTCCCTTTAACGAATTAGATGATAACTTATTCCCTATCCGGCTAGATACGCGGATAGACAGGCGCGCATCCGGGGAAGATAGTCAAGCCTTAGTAGCTTATCCTCTTAATATCTCGGAATCATACAATATGGCATCTCTTCCGACTAATGTAACTGAGTCAGCTATCAATGATGAAATAAACCAACTCCGGTCGTAAGTAAACAATGCAGATGAGCAAATTCCTGCAGCAACCGTGGATAGAGATTACGACATCCAACGCGAACAAATACTCTTGGATATTATAACTCAGATGCGGCAACAAATGTGTCACATGAATGAACAAATCCATGCACTCGCGGAAAGTCACTATAATCACCGGATAAGTCACGGTCCTATGAACGTGACGTACGGACGAACAACCAACGATGTACGAAACCGCCACTCGCGTACTTCTAATTATATGCAACTAAAGGAAGCACGAGATATAATACCCGAATTTGACGGTACTTCGCAGAGTCAACTACAAGAATTTCTAAATGCAAGTTCTTACGTTATGAATAATATTAATCCCAAGGAAGAACCTATGTTACTCGAAGCAATATTATGTACTAAACTGAAAGGCAAGGCTATGATAGATTTCGACACTAGGGATATTCAAAATTTCGAGCAATTGAAACAAGAATTAGAGACATGCTATTCTACCAGGAAAAGTACGACACATTTACAAATTGAATTTAATTCCTTGAAGCAACGAGTAGGCGAAAGTGCGCAAGGGTACGAATTACGTACCGACAAACTTGCAATGCAGCTTTACGAATCCATGATAAATGGACAAAGACACACTACGGAACAAAAACGTGTCATCTTAGAAACTGTACAAAAACAGGCGCTGCAGAACTTTCAGATTGGTCTGAATAACGACATTAAGTTACTCGTTCGCTCACAAAACTATCGTACGTTGCACGAAGCCATAGCCGGAGCCAGTTCGGAAGAACGATTAATAGGATCGAGCCGATCATTCATAAAACATAAGCCGAATCAAGATATACGCAGCGACCGAACTCCGTATTGTTCGAAATGTGGCAAACTCGGTCATTATGAGCGTGATTGCAGGGTAAGCAGAAATCCGACTCGATATTCCTTACCTAA